AAACTGGTGCAACCACTTTGGATATCAGTATGGAGATACCTCAAAGAACTAGGACTGGAAGTCCCATTTGACTCAACTATTCCCCTGATGGGTATCTTCCCAAAAGAATTAAAAGAATCATATCACAGCAATATAGGTGCACCCATGTTCACAGCAGCACAGATTGTAATAGCTCAAACTTGGAAACAGCCCAGTTGCCCATCAACTGGAGACTGAATAAAGAAAATGTAGCTTTTTTCTAAAATGGAGTATTACTCAAGACATAAAGAATGAGAAATTGGAGACATTTATACCTAAATGGATGCACATTGAGGCCATACTCTGAGATGAAACAAATAGGACACACATGTGTAAATACTGAATAGTTTCTGTTGTGAAAAACTTAAAGTGTAAATAAAGATCAAAAGGTATAATAGATAATGTGAAATAGGAAGAAGAGGTGCAAAGGGGAAGTGGAAGTAAGAGGGGTAGGAGAAAGGAAAGAAGGGAAAGGAATTAACATGAGAAAATGAAAAAAAAACGGAAACAAATTCTTTGTAAATAGAGAGGGGTGGAGAGGTTGAAGGGAGTGCAGGGGAATGGGGGAAAAAAAGAATCAAGATATGTTACGTAAAGGTACAAATCTCCAATGATGAATACCATTATTTTGTATAATTAAAATGTACCAATAAAATTAATTTTAAAAAAAACACAAAGTGTGCAAAAAACAAGGATAAAGGACTTGCATCCAGAATACATCAACTCCCAAAACTTAACTCTTTAAAACCTTTTATAATTTCACTAACTTTAATTAGATTTTTAGGATTTTTTCTTTTTCTTTTTTGGTACCAGGGATGGAACTCAGGATCTTGCACTTGGCAGGCAGGTGCAGCACCACTGAGCTAAATCCCCAGCAGGATTAATTTTAATTTAATTAAAGATTTTTCATGGGCAAACATTTGAACAAACACTTTAAAGATGTACAGATGGCAAATAAGCACATAACATGCTCAAAATCAGTATGCTTTGGGAAATAATTAAAATCACAAGGAGATGCCACTATCCACCCACAAGAATGAGTAAAAGACTGACAATGCCAAGCATTAGCAAGAAGGTGTAACACCTTTTAGTCTCACACACTGCCAGTGGGAATTGAAAATGGTACGGTCATGTCAGAAAACAATTTGGCAGTTTCTTGTAAAGTTTAAAAGCAACACTTGGGGCTGGGGCTTTAGCTCAGTGGCACTGTGCCTGCCTTGGAAGCACAAGGCCCTGAGTTCGATCCCTGTTACCACAAAACAAAACAAAACAAAAAAAACAATGAATAAAAGCAACACTTAAAAAATTAAAAAATAAATAAAAGCAACACTTATACAACCCAACAATTTCATCTGTAAGTGAAATTAAAACATGTTTACATAATGTTTATATATGTCTAGAGTTGCTTTATGATTTTTCTCAACTGGAAACTCAAATGTCCTTCAACTAGTAAATGAGCAAACCGGTATAATCATCTAACAGAATACAATTCAGCAAAAACATAAAATTACTTATAACACAAACATGGATATGTCTCAAATACACTGTGCTAAGTAAAGATATCAGACTCCAGCTACAAACTATATGATTTATTCCATTTTGAATGACATTATTCCATTTATATGACATTATATGACATTCTAGAAATGGCAAAACTACAGGAACAGAGAATAGATTTGCAGTTGCTAGGATCTGGGATGGGAGAGACTGGCTATAAAAGAGCATAAAGAAGTTTTCTGAGGTGATGGAATTGTTCTATTTCTTAGTAGTGGTCATATGACACTATGCATTAAAACTCATATAATTCTAGCACTAAGGGTTGAAGGAGGAAGATCATGGGTGTCAGCCTGGACTACACAGCAAGACAAAACAAAAAGAACAAAAAAACCTGAAAGTGCCAGGCACAATGCATTGTCTGTAATCCGAATTACATGAGGGGGCTGAGGCTAGCAAGTTCAAAGAGTTCTTGCCAATTCAGAGAGACCCTGTTTCAAAACAAAGTTAAAAAGAAGGGAAAGGGCAGGGTATGTAGCTCAGTGGTACAGGGCTAGCCTAGCAGGTGCAAGACCCTGGGTTCAATCCACAGTACTGCCCCCCAAAAAGAAAAGAAAATCCTCATTAATTGAAATGTATGTAAATTATAAATCAATAACCTTAACTTATTATAAGTGAATAAACAAAATTATTCCTTCCCCTTTAAAACAGTACTTTGAGAGGTTCAAAGTAAATATAATAAATATGTATACAAGTTAACAGAGAACATATACACATGCTCAAGATTCAAGATGATCGCTCCAATGACAAAGCTAGTCATCTCTGCATGTCTGACCTCTACATACTTTTCTATTATTTTTATTGTTCAACAGATTTATATTTATAATCATTAAAGATGGAAAGTATAACAAATTCTGGTTGCTCCATATATCCCTTTGCTCCAATAAATCCCATGAGGACAAATTTCGGTCCATCTTGTTCACTGTTATATCCTCATCTAAAATAGTAGGAACATCTGGGCACCCAAACATTTAATAAATGTGCTAAAATATAGTGATAATGACTCTCCATTTTGGTTTTTCATTTACTGAGATTAAAGATTATTTACAACTGAAATCTACTGTTTTCAAAGAAGTACCTATAAAAAGCACTCCTAAATCTTTAGTTAACCATTTAAAACAAAATATAAATTACAAAACCAAGAATTTTTTTATAAATCACAAAATACACCACACATCAGAATTTGGAAGCTATTTTTGTCTTTTTGATTAATTATAACACGAAGTAAATTTCAAATTATACACATATATAACCCAGGCACTGTGGCACATGCCTGTAGTCCTAGCTACTTGGGAGGCTGAGGATCACTTGAGTCCACAAGTTTCAAAACCACTCTGGGCAATACAGAGACCTCATCTTAATAAAAACAGCAAAAAGAAGAAATTATACATATATAATTCCATACAGCCAAACATAATTAAGTCATTTGAAATTCTAACATGTTTTGTCTTACATAATTAATAATTTTAAGTAAATTAACATCACTTTTTAAAGTAAAAAAAAAAATCAAAATTTGCTTTAAATATTATGCACATTAGTGATGGAAATTTAAAATGTATTGTGCAAGCGCAAGGACCCGAGTTTGATCCCCGGTACCAAAAAAAAAAACAAAAAAAACCCAGACTTGAAATGTATTAATCTACAAAAATATTTGTTACTTCAAATTTTTATCATAAATCATATAAAAATGACAAAAGGATTTCTTAATTTCCTGAAAAAATTCCAAAAATTCTTCAGTATTGTGAAATACATTCACAGGTCAAAACATTGTATTGTACAATTCCAATTATATGTGGTACCTAAAGTAGTCAAGCTCATAGGGACAGAAAGCAGAACAGTGGCTACTGGGGGGAAAGGTGAGGGAGTAATGGGGAGTTAGTGTGTAATGGGTAAAGAGTTTCAGTTTGAGAAGATAAAATTCTGCAGATGACAGTGGTGATGACTGCAGAACAGTATGAATGTATTTACTGCCACGGAAATAAATACTTCAAATGGTAAATTTTATGTACATTTTATCACAATGAAATAAAAACACCTAACCCTACCTGTTCATTTTACAAGTGAGGTCCAAGTTCACGTAGCTACTTAATCACAAAGATAGAATTTGTAATTCTACTCAACTAACACTCCAACTTATTTCTAGGCTATAAGTAAGAATAAAGAGCTAGGCCAGGCACAGTAAAACATGTCTGTAGTCCCAACTACTCAGAAGACTGAGGTCTTCTGAGATCACAAGTTTAACACATTCCTGCTGGCCTGAACCACCATACATGACCATACATACATGATGGTCCCATGGGGCAGCTTGTAGCACTGGTGATACAAATGGATCTAATCACTTTTATTAGTCTTTTTACTAATAAAATTAATAAAAAGCCACCCAGTGGGGTAATCATGCATGTACTACTAGTGGTTCAAGCCACCTGGCAGCAAGACATATAAATTATGGCCTTGTTGAAAATGTGTGAAGGCCAGCCTGAGCAACTTAGGGAGATGCTATCTCAAAAAATTTTTGAAAAAGGGTGTGGGCTGTAGCTCAGTGGTATAGTACCACTGGATTCAACCCCTAGCAGCAATATAAGTAACAGGTAAATAGCCTGTAAAGTAGCTCACTGGCAGAGTACAGTCTAGTACAAAAAAAAGAAAAAAAGGCCCTGGGTTTGACCATCAGCACTGAAAAAAAATTCAGGAGAGAGACTGCTAGAGACACAGTGGCTGAGTGACATATCATAAGGTAAAATTGCAAAGAAAAGATAATGTATAATTATAAATAAATCAGCAGTCAGGTAAGATTTTATTTTTATGCATTTTTATATCTGCCTTATTCCCACATCTATTTTGGGGGGGGGGATTTGGTTTTTTGAGACAAGTTCTCACTATGCAGTTCTGGCTGGCCTGAACTCACAGCAATCCACCCCCCTCAGCCTCCTAAGTGCTAGGATTATAGGCATGCGCCACCACACCCAGATTTATATTTTTTCTTGTTTTCCTCTTCCTTTATCTTTTTTCTAAATTATGCTCTTTTTCTTCTGATTACATACTTGCAATATGTAAGTCCTCTGTAAAAGAAATGGTCATAACTATAAATGTGTCAACAAAAATTTTAAATTATATACCAAGTGCATGGCTTACAAAAGAAGTATACAGAAGACTGCAGAACATTTTAATGAAAATCTGGTCTTTCAAAAGACTAATTTAGCAACGATATGACAGGCTGCTATATGTAATTTAAAATCTGACTTAATCATGTAAGCGTATCTACTTCCCTTAGGGGTAAACTTTTGTAGAGGAACACTTCTTCAAAACAATTTCCTTGTCTGGGGACAGGGTATACTCCAGTGGAAGAGCATGTGTCTAGCATGTGCAAGGTCCTGAGTTCAATGCCTGGCACCAAAAAAAAAAAAGAGAAAAATAAAAAAAGTAATTACCTTGGAAACCACTTGGCATGCTCTACCCATGGATCATCTCCAGATTCCCAACACCTCAAACCGCCATCACAACAAAAGCATTTGACATCATCGTTTCGACCTAAAGGGAAAATAAAGACCAAACACTAATGCATGTTCCAATAATCAAAATGAACTAGATAAAATGTACAGCTATTTGTTAGTTTCTCACCAACAAAATAAAAACCAGCACTTGCAAGCTGCTCGGGCTGAACTGGAACAGTAGATGGCCAGTATATAAATGTTCTCATTCGAGCAGCATGTGTCTGCATGCTCAGATTTGAAATACTAAATCTCAGCATTTCCAGAGAATTTTCCAAAAATGGGCAGTTGGGAAAATGTCTCCGGTGTTCTGACATAGCATCATCCTTTGGCTCCCAGTTACTTAGCTTTCCACCACAAGCAAAGCAGGCGACCCTATCTCCAGGTCCTATATAATAAAAACCAGCTTTTGCCAAGTCTAACGGTGACAAAAAGGTTAATGGCCACATCTTGTAAGTAAGAAATCTGGCTTCTTCAGTACTCATGGCATAACTGTAGGGGTTAGTCCTCACTGGAGAGAAGTCTTCCACTGCTCTGGAGTTAAGAGGGTTTGGTGAAAGGTTGGAACAAAAACCACTGAATGAGCCACTATATTCCAAAGTAGGAGATAATGAATGTGCCAAGCTGTTTTTCACTGCAGAGTTATTCTTAGAGGTGGACTGCAGGCTAGCTGAAATCAGATTCTGAATGAAGCTACAGCTAGGGTATAGCTGTTTATGCTTTTCAATAGGATTGTCTCCTTGTTTCCAGTTATCCAGCATCAGGCCACAACAGAAGCATTTGACTTTGTCTTTCACACCAGTGTAATAGAAACCAGCACGAGCAAGACTCCTTTCTGAAACAGGAACACCACTGGGAAAAGCCGAATACGTAGACATTCTGTAGAGTTCACATGAAAAGTCATACTTCATTTTTTGTTTGCTGTCATCTGTCCAATTTGGCAAGATTGTGCTCTCTTCCATTATATTTTTAATTTTTTGATATGAGGGACCTTGGACAACTCTTTGGGAGGTAGTTTTGTTCATGAGTGCATGATAGAACTTTTTGATGGCTAAAACTTTTCATATAAAATTTCTCATCTCTTCACACTTAAGATTTTTACCATAAAAAAGGGATCAAATGACAGACTCCTACTTATGTAGAATTCACTACACCTTCTTTATGGGATTTATATCTGTGTACACTCAGGTATGATGAATCGCTCTCCTAAATTACCAAGATACTACTTAGTACTCTTTGGGGTGATTAACTCTTTTAGGTAACCCAGGTGATATTTGCTCATAATTTGGCATAACTAACCTAAAGACCTGAAAAATTTTATACACTTTTGAACATATTAAAACTCTTTGATGTTTCAAAAAAGTTTATATTCTTAAAATTCTAGGTAACTATAAAATACTTAAATTATGCCTTTAATGTGCTTTTGGTTATAAGCTATGAAGTCTGAATATCAGGCCAATTACTGGATAAGCCACCAGAATAAGGTTATAATGCAGGCTTTTTTCCCTTATAAGCTCTTTGATATGACATCCAAATTAATCTCACTTTATTCTAACAAACAAAAGTAATTGCTCATACTATCTAAAGTCTAATTCCACATAGCTTATCATCAAAGTATTTACTTAAGTTACATTAGCTTCAGTAAATAACTTTTGGGGAAGAGAAGCTTTATTGAATCTATGTGATACGAAATGAATTTTGCTTAGTACTTATAAACTGTTAACTCTTGTTTAAAATTATCTACACTTGTTTCCACTTCCTGAAGTATCATTATATTGTCTTTCTTCCTAATTGTGTGTATCAATTACAACTGGTCAACTAAGTAAGGTATTTTATCCATAAACTTAACTAGTTAACCATAAAATTTCCACAGCATTTTAAAAATTAAATAACCTGCTTTTCATTTAAGGACCATTCAGTTATAATACTGGGCATGCTGTAATTTTGGATCAATTTATCAAAAGACATATCTTTCTTATCATTAATGTCTAACAAAATATCGTTATTACCAACAGTACTACATACACATAATGTACCAGTAATTTACTAAGCTTCTTTCTGAAAACAAAATTTAACTTCAAATTGTATCCCTTTTTAAAGTTTTAGGGTCTCCACAATGGGATTTATTTCTGCAGAGAGGAAAATGGGGGAGAGGAAGACTCTTCAGAGATGTAAATCTGAAAAGAAAAAAACAAGTTATTTCAGAAAACTATAATTGGCATGGCGAATAAAATTTACAGTCTCAAGTTATTCAGTAAAGTAAAAAATGATTAAAACTTTAGATGATACCTCTGAATTCCAGCAACTTGTCATCAAAACTTTCTAATTGGAAAAGCTCTTCATTAAAATAAATACACGTAAAACCCCCACAGCACTAACTATGCACGTCTTTAACACACAACTTTAAAGTCGGATGGACATTTCCACACAGGAAATTACCTTTCCTTGGTCTACTCCCCTTTTCTGATTTAAAGATAATAATTCTGGTAATTTACAGAAGGCAAAAAAGTACAGCGGTGAAAAAAAGATTCCACTACACCCCTTCAACCCACAGCAGTAATTAGATGGGAATGGCACTCTTTAAAGTCAAGTCTCTCCAGGTTTGCCTAGTTAAAAGACATCAGGAAATACTCAGCTAATGTAAACCCTTAAAGACTCTCATTCCCTCACAATCATAAAACCACCACAGGAAGCAACTCAAAAACAAAAATACGACGGTGTGTAAAACACTGGTCCGGGCAATATGAATAGGCAAACTGTAGCAGGAGAAAGTGGGGGAGACAGACTGGAAAGGAAATCAAAAGAAACTATGGGATTCATCCATTAACTTCCCGGAGTTCTTGTATCTCACACTATACTACTAACGTGGCATAGCGCAGTGGTAACTATCTGAGATATGACATTTCACCGCCATAAAACCGTCTTCGTTTTAAGATATTAAAGGAATACCAAGGGCTAAATTTAAAGCCTTGCCACACACATACACACACAAAAAGCAAACACTTCGGTATTTTGGTCAAAAGTCCAGGGGCTGAAAAAGTGGGCAGTGGCCACACTAGGTTGGAAAACAAATCATTTAAAAAAAAAAAAAGCCTTGTCGACGCCAAGCCCTGTAATCAGGATTTCCGAATAAAAAAACTCCTGGGCGCGCGTAACAAGCAGAGCGCCCAGGCAAACCTGGCTTGGCCGAGGGGCCGCAAGCCCATTCTCCCTCGCCTGGCAATAGCTTCAAGGAAGCGGACCCCCTCAGGCCCGCGAGCCCCAGGCCCGGAAGGAGCTGCACTCACCGTAGGGCCGGTGCAGAAAACACGAAAACGGGGCAGCCGCCCGCAGGCCTCCGCAGACCTGGGGAGCAGCGGCGCAGGCCCAGAGCGCAGCCTGGATCCACCAGCTCCACTTCGCCTCGGGCGTTCCCGAAACCCCTCGCCCCAGCTGGGCCGACGCCGACGTACGCTGACGTCAGCACGTCCTGTCGCGGAGTTACACCAGACGCCGCGCGAGGGCGCTCGGAGGTGTGCGGCGTGGTGCGCGGCTCACTATGAGAAGACCAGGCGTCCGGGACCCATGTCGGAGTCTCGGGCCCGGCGCCGCGAGGCCACCCACCGGAGGCTGCGCTGTGTGCCCACTAGGCGAGGCGGTCTTCCGCTCCATTAGGTGTTTGGGGGTGTAACCGCGCAGTGCACCTTCCCGGCGTCCCTCTCCCTGTGTCCCTAGCCTTGTCCGAGGGGACGTGGCAAACCGTGAGCCCTTGCGTCTGTCTTGGGCCGCGCGGCGGAGATGCCCCAGGCCCGAGGCTCGCGGGACGCGCCTTGGTCCGCCGCGATTGAGAGCCCCACCCGTGCGGCGGAGTTACTGCACTGGCGGTTCTTTGTTTTTGGATGTTTTTTTGGCGTCAATAAAGTAAATGGAACCGTTTTTTCTTCAGCACACTAACGCTAGATAAATTGAAAAAAGCGAAGCATTGGGAAAGAGCATCAAATAGTGTTGAAGACTTAGTGTGTGTTATACTCTATCAGTGTATATTTTGTTTTTAAACTTTTGGTTTTATGTTCTGGAGACACTGGTTTTTTGGGGGGTTTTTTGGTACCGGGACCAACTCCGGACCTTGGGCTTGCGAGGCAGGCGGCCAAATCACTGAGCTAAATCCCCGGCTCGACACTGATCTTTAAAAGTGGCTTTATTTTAAATTCTCATCAGCAACCATATTCACTCTCAATATTTTTTGACTATTTGAATAAAATGGAATTTATTCAGTCGTGTACATACACATATACATATAATCGTGTATAAGCCACCGAGAAGCCTATCAAAAATTTAGTTAACTGATAGAAAAATTGTGAATAAAAATGCTTGGATTTACTAACAGTCATAGGCCTTTTGTCTTCCTTCTCTCTAGTCATGTGACCCCTGGAATTCAGTGTTTGTTGTACGAACGACTTTTTGAATAACTTCTAAGTCTGCGGAAGACAGTCTTTGTCAATGAAATCAGATGCGTTCTTCTCTGGGGAACTCCAGGGGGCAAACATTTCAAAAATTTACAAATAAGCCACTTGATTAGGCAGCCAGGGGAATTCCAGGACCCTGAACCATTTCCCACTTCCGGTCCCTGTCATTTCTGCCTGCCAGTCAGTCATAGAACAGGAGGTCTTCTGTTCAAATGTTTATATTAAGAAGTATTCCGTAACAGTTGTGATACAGAGAAAAGAAATGCACTGGTTCCCAATGACTAAACACTTGCAAAAAATGCATATGGGTCACAGTAGCAGTTCAGCATTTAGTTCAAGTTACTGTTTCTTGGAAAGTTACTGAACATTCCTCATATATGTGGGAAAACATATATAGCAACATTTGTTAAAAAAAAAAATACTGCACAAGCGCAAGGACCAGAGTTCGATCCCTGGTACCAAAAAAAAAAAAAAAAAAAAAAAAATTGGGCCACTTTTCTAACAAAAAAAAATACTCATTTTGAATTCAAGATTTTTTTTTTCCACTGTTGTCCTGACCAAGAAAAGTAAGATAATAAATGTCATTCAGTGTAAGGGGAAATTTGCATTTTAAAAACTGAAAAGCCTCAAGTGCCTCCCTAAATAGATTATCATTCAGGTACTTGATTGTCTTTAATTGTGTACAACTTTGGAGTCCAGTATTAACATTTACTCAGTTGTTCCTTTTATTCAGTCTTTCTTTTCATACTGCCAATGTAGAGTTGCTGGTTTTCTTTATTTTGCGGGGCGGGGGGGGGGGGGGATTGAACCCCAGGCTTCCCACATGCTAGGAAAGTGCACTACCATTAAGCTATATCCTTTGCCCATTTTTTTTTTTTTTCTTTTTCTGAGACAGGGTCTCACTAAGTTACCCAGGCTGGCCTCAAAATTGCAATCCTCCTGCCTCAGCCTCCCAGAGTGCTGGGATTATAGGTATTGACCAGCACACCTGGCTACATCTTTCCTATTTATATAGAAAAAAAATACAGGACCCAAGACAATTTTGAAGGGAGCTAAGACTGAAAAGATGGCCTACAAGATAAGTTATATAATAAAACCACAGTAAATGAGACAGACTTATTAAAGGAAAAATTTTTTAAAGACACCCACATATATGTATATACGAATTTGCTATATGACATCAGTATTATATATTAGTGAGAAAAAGATAACTAGTCAATAAGTAATGTATTTTTTTTGTTTCTTTTTTTCTTTCAATTTCTATCATTTCTGTATTATGAACAGTTGACAATAAGGAGATGTCTTTTTTGTCTTTCCATTTCACAACACAGACTTTTTGTCTCTGATATGCTAACATTTCTCTGTTTTTCATTTTGCAGCTCTTTTGACACCTATTCAGTCTCAGTGTCCCAAACATGTCCGTTTTGTACTATAAAAGAATAACACTGACTTCTGGGGAAGTATAAAAATTATATCATATACTGCTTATCACAGTGCTGTTTCTTTTAATGGGAAACTATTTAAAGACCACAATCTGAAGGACTGTGGTGGTATAAATGAGTTACTTGTTTGGTGGACAGTGCTGGGTAAAATGATTTGGTTTGGTTTGGTCTTTTTCTTTTTTTAATAAAATACATTATTTAAACTGAAATTTCCAACTTAAATTCAGGGATTCTAGGTTTTATTTAATTGCACCCAACTTCTTCCTCTCTTTTCTTTTTTTGGTGCTGGGGAGTGAGCCTAAGGCCTCACACTTGCTAAGCATGTGCTCTCCTGCTGAGCTACACACCTCCAGCTCTAACCCCTTTTGATTGTATAGCTCTTTCCTTTGTTCCAAAATCCTTATCTCCCCTCTACTCCTTCCTGTTCCATAATGACTTCAACATTTTTTATGATTTATTTTTTCATTTTAAAAATAAAATTGCATATATTTTTCTATTCCCTCTACCTTTTTCACTTAATATTCAAATCTGAAGATCCCTCAGTACTAGTGTAGAAAGGTATTTCTCATCTGTGCTTGCTGCTCCATTGTGAAGAAGTACTGTAATACAGTCAACTTAAACAATCTGGTTCAAAATGCAATCAAAGCCTTCTTTTGTCTTCACCACTGGCACAACCATCTGTAATGGATGGTCCTGCAGAACTGCTCTGTTTCCTGATGAAGAGAAAAAAGCAGTCATAGAGGACTAAGCCAAATAATGTGAAGGACCACACTTCCTTACAGCACAGCAGGCTGACCCACTCCACGTCTGTGAGGCTGGAGCTGCACCCGCAGCAGAGATGCCGTGGTGGGCTTGAAGCAGAGATCCAACCAGAGAAAGTATCTGCTGGAACTGGTACTGCCCAGATCTGTGCGGGAGCCAGTCTGTAATAAAGAGGAAAGGAATTTACCCCACCCCACCGAGATCTACAGAGCTCTCCACCTCTCCACCCCACCAAAAAGCAGAGATTACTAGGGTCATACAGAAGACTCCCTCTGATCTGATACAAAACTAGTATCACAACACTTTCAACTACTTTCCTATGCCTGAGTATCTGAATGGTGTCCAGTTCTTTTCTATTATAAATAGTGTTAGAACAAATAGTCATGGGCATATGTCTTATTTTGGATTTATTTTCAGAAGTTGAATTGTTAAATATAAAACCATGCATTAATTTTGCTGGATATAGGCAAATACTCATCATGGGACTGTTGATATTTTGCAAGGCAGCCAGTAATTTATGTGAATGGCTTGTTGTCCCTGTAGCTTCACCAAGCAGAGTATGTTGTCAACATTTGGATTGTTACCAATCGGTGAGAAGATACTGTAGTTTTCAGAGTAGCTTTAATTTCATTGTCCTGTTATGAGACTGAAGATTTTTTCCTATGCATTAACTATACAGGTAATTTTTTTTTTATCTATCTATTTATTTATTTATTTATTGGTACTGGGGATCGAACTCGGGTCCTTGTGCTTGCGCAGCAGGCAGCGAAACCACTGAGCTAAATCCCATTTTTGCTTAATTTTTAAAAATAAATAAAACATTACCTAGGGCCGGGGATTTAGCTCAGTGGTTTCACTGCCTGCTGCACAAGCACAAGGACCAGAGTTCGATCCCTGGTACCAAAAAAAAAATAATAAAATTAAGCAAAGATAAAAGAATATTAGGATTGGTTACATGGTATTATTAAAGAAAAAATATTCTGACACTTGTTAAAATGGTTGGAAAGATTTTATTCATGACTATTACAGTAAGAACATTGCAATGGGGAGAGAGATTGGGCTCAACTCTGAAACAGCCAAGATAACTGGGGATTTAAAACTAATACACAGTGAGAAGGATCAGCGGATAAAAAAGTACTAAGAGGAGAGACATAGAAGGTAGAAGGATTCTTGCTGAGGACAGAAGGGTTATACATCAAAGGCAGAGAATGAGAAATCTGATCAGATATCAAGAATCAGACATCAAGGGGGAGAGCTACTCACTGAACTAACTTAGGCAAGGCAGACAGATTAATGGGGCCTGAGTGAAGAGGGGGAGAGGATCAACAGAGGAGCTTGACTAAAGTTTAGTCAAGGAGACTCTGTCAGAACGTACATACACCAAATGGATATTTTCCTGAATATTTAACATATTTTATATAAAACATTCAAATAAACAGGATTCTAAACATGAGAATTTGCAAATTTGGGCACATCAGACTACCCCCCCCCAACTTTTAGTCACAGCGTATGAAGCATTACCCATCCGGTTTTTTAAAAAAAATTACTATATAATTCTTGTTAAGTCTTTAAATTTTTTCATAAAATTTTTCATTAGGGTTTTAGAACTAGAAAGAACCCCATAGCTCACTTGATTTAATCTATTTATTTTATATATGAAGACTCAGCCAAGTTGACTATCAGAAAGATATATTGAGAATCTGAACATACGTGTGGTTTGAAAACTCTGGTATCTGTATCAAAAGCCAGATTTTAAAAATTTACAGAAATGTTACTTACAGGCTTAACTAGTAAACTAACTCTATTTATTTATTCAGAGTCAGGGTCTCGCCATGTAGCCCAGGCTGGCCTCAAACTCACTGTCCCCCTGCCTCAGCTGCCTGACTGCTGGGTTTACAGGCATGTACCACCACGCCTGGCTCCACACTCAGATTTGTACACATCCAATTACTTTACCCAAATAACCATATGTTTAGCCGTTTAGAGCCTGCCTGCTGTCCATACCCCAGGAAGCTGCATCTAACATCTGCTAGACAAGAAAAGACAAATTCTGGGGCCATTGAGACCCCAGCCTCTGCTGCCCTTCCAAGTTCTCTTCTCATCTTTCTGTTGTGCAACATCACCTAGACAAGGAACGCTCCTCTGTGGTTCCCTCTTCCCAGGGAGTTGCTTCTCCTTCTTTCGTTGCCGGGCTGTGTCTCCACACCTCTGAGTCGGAAAGGCGTTCCCTGTGAGACTTCCTCCTTACGTGGAACCTGTCCAGCACCGCCCACTGTGGCGCACATTGCCTTGCTACTGCCACCTTGTGGTCATGACTTCTCTTTCCTCTGCGCCCAGATCCCCGAACTCAATTTTAAAAACCCTCATGATGGGACGGGAATGGGGAGATAGAAGTCATGCTGGCAAACACAAGGGAGAAAGAACTTTGTTCTTTCTATATATACTTCCTATCAAGTGATATAAAAAAGAATTCCAAAAAGCTGATGGAAGTCCAGGAAGAGCCTTTCCTGTGATTATTTTCACAGAAAATAATCGTGTGAGAGACTGAACACACGGAGGCACAGAAATGTTTCATAATTGGCCCAAGGGCCAGGGATTTGGCTCAGCGGCACAGTGCCTGCCTGGCAAGAGCAAGGTCCTGAGTTCGATTCCCGGTGACCAAAAAAAAAAAAAATTACCTTCTCATAATTTGCCCAAGTTTTTTGGCTGTGATTTGAACCCAAAGCCTGCACCTTTTATCTCTGCTTCTTTCTCTCTTAAATTGCAGTAAGTCTCAAGATAATATAAAGACAGTACAATGCAGTTCAATAAATGTCAGTGTATTATTGTTAATATTAACATTCTAGTGCGCATATCTGTGCCTTCTTATGCTCTTTCCAGAGTTAAAATGCCATGCCTTATCAGATAGAAATAATTCCAAGTCCCACTTTCTTTGAACCAGGTTTATCTTTCACCCTCTAAAGATGCCTTTTAATAGCCAAAGGATTACAGAATTTGGGCCATGATTCTCAGTTTTTCAATGATTATGCCTTAGTATTTTATCAACAATGGTGTTGGAGGAGGAAGAAATCCCCCCTCACAGCTAACCTCCACTCACAGGAAGACATTCATTTATTTACTCAATAAGATCCTCTTCTGTCAGTCTTGCTAGGACCTAGATACATGGGAGTAAACAAAACACATACTTCTCATGCTAGTGAAAATTCTATTTGACATTAGAATGTGGCACTGAAGAAATAAATGTGTAAATATAAATTGTGATATGTCATGAAAAAAAAGTGTCCATTACAGGACAAAGGGATATAACTAAAAAGGGAGAAGTCATAGAAGCACTCTGAGAAAGTAACAGGCTGAGGAGTATGAAGGAATTTGCCAAGGAAAGAGGAAATGAAAGAACATTCTGGTTATTGGGAATCAGAAAACAATAGCCAAAACGAAGGGCTCTGCAGTAGTTTCTAAACTTCTCCTGAGCTTCCTCTTCCCCAAAGTGAATCCTAGAAACCTGGACACATTTTCCCCAAAGCCAGAATTATTCCCCAAAACTAGAATTATTAACTTTCCTCTGTCTTTCTGTGTAGGAGTTTGACATTAAAACCTAGGTGGGTGCAACCTAGATATTTGGGAGGCTGAGGCAGGAGGATTCTGAGTTCAAGGCCAGTCTAGGTGACTTAGGGAGACCCTGCCTCAAAATAAAAAATAAAAATGAAGAAAGGGCTGGAGTGTAGCTAAGTAATAGAGTGTTTTCCTAGTATGCCTAACTCTCTGGATTCAATCCCTTGTACAGAAGAAAAGAGAGGAGAGGAGAGAGGGAGGGCAAGCTTTCATACTATAGAGGAAGAAATACTACAACTGAGGGACCAATAGGAATCTGAACAGTCAGAATATATCCATTAGCTCATACCCATTTTGCCCAATCACATTTCTACCCACTGTTTCTACTTCACTCAAGTATAAAAATAGTTCATCCTGGGTCTTTGGAGTCTTCAATCTGAAGGCTCCCAAGTCACATAAAACTATGCCAAATAGGTCTGTTATGTTTTTCTCTTATTAATCTGCCTATTGTGATGAGAGTATAGGTCACGACCCTTTATGGTGAGCAAATTGGCAGCAAACCATGGTGTCATTCACTTGATGCTAGTTTTATGGGCATGCAGAATGCAATAGTTATGGGTCAGGGAAGCTTCCACCCAGATTTCAAAAGAAGGCCTGGAAGGCCAGGCAGTGTGCCCCTGAGAGGCCCTTTCATGAAAATGTGAGTGTGAAGCCAAAAATGCAGTGGAGATCCCTGAAAATGGTGAAGCCAGGAATCTGACCATCGGAGAGAAGCTGCAGGCAGTGAGCAGAGCCAACCCAAGAGGGAGGCCATGTGGGCTGTAACCAGCAATGCTATAGGAGAGGGGCCACCCAACCCCTTTGGACTCACATCTTGTCACCATTTTTCCTGGGTGCTTGACACAAAGCTATGGGATTTCATGTTTGCCATGCTGGGTTTAGGTCTCATTTTGGTTCCATTCCTCTCTACCCTGCTATTTCTCCCTTTTGGAATAGGAATGTCTATCCTGTGCCATTATATACTGGCTGTGTTTAACTTTCCTTTTGAGTTTTACAGTGGCTCACAGATAAGAGTTTGCCTTCAGTCTCGGAGAAGACTTTGGATTTGGACTTTTCAGCAATGCTGGAATTATTAAAACTTTGGTGACTCTTACAGATGGGCTAAGTACATTTTTCATAAAGAGATGTGGAAGGGGCTAAGGATATAGCTCAGTGGTAGAATGCTTTGCTATCATGTACAAAATCCTTAGCAACACACACACACACACACACACACACACACACACACACACAAAGAAAAAAGCAATGTACACGAGTCTTTTGGGGACCAAGGTAGAATGTTATGTTTTGGACCAAGAATGTACCCAAAGGCTTCATGTGCTCACTGGTGGGACCTGCAGGCTGTGACTGGATCATGGAGGCACTGTACTCATCATTTACTGAGTCATTTACTGGAATCACTTACTGATGAGTTCAGCAGCTGAGTATGCTATTGGAGAGTGGTGCCTGACTGGAAGAAGCAGGTCACTGAAAGAGGGTGTATCTCCCTCGCTAGCTCCTTCCTTCACTCTCTCTGCTTCCTGGTTACTATGATCCTTACACAATGCTGTTTCTATTAAGCCTTTATTAAGCCATGCTGTTTCTATTTAAGCCTTCTGAACATGGACTGAAAACTTCTGAAACCATAAGCCAAAATAAACCTCCCCTCCTTTGAGTTGCAGGTGTCAGATATTTTACTCCAGTAATGAGGAAAGTGACAAAGACATATATATTTATATAAATGTCTTTATATAAAATTTTCTGAGTTATAAATAAATAAGTTTTAACGGAAATAAAATCAGTATAAAAGTTAAAATTATAATACACTTAATCGATTAATTCTAGAGTTTAGAAAAATTTCTATATCTTTTTCATGAAAGAAATGTACGAACTGTACCCTTGATTGTACTCCTACAAATAGGGCACTTTCTTAGAGAAGGGGCACAATCTTTGCATACTACTAGATGACCACATGGAATAAACACTATGGACACTTCTTTGTCCATACACACTTTACATGTTCTTTCTTCTTGTAGTCTCCTCAACTGTTCTTCCATTGGTAGATCTAGGAAAAGAATTTTTTTATTATTTTAGTTTATTAGTACATGAATGTAGTACACAATGTTTACATTCTTTGTGTGGAGTTGGTACATGTATTTAACACATGCCAATTCCTTTTTATTTGTCCCTTATCCCTTCCTCCATCTCTCTTTTTTTTTTTGGTACCGGGGATCGAACTCGGGTCCTTGCACTTCATAGCAGGCAGCGACACCACTGAGCTAAATCCCTGGCCCACTTGCTCCATCTCTTGATCCCCTTCCCTTTGAGAATAATCGATCTCCCTATTTTCGATTATCTATCCTTTATTTTGGTCTTTATGTTTACTCTGGGTTTCTAATATAAAAGAAACAGTGTGATATTTAAGCTGTATGTCTGATTTATTTTGCTTAACATTATCATCATAAGGTGCATTCATTCACTTTCCTACAAATGACTCAAGTTTATCTTTCTTTATGGCAGAGTAGTACTCCAATGTAAATACCACATGAAAAAAGAATTTTTAATAAAAAACAATTTTCTTTTTCTTAAATGAAAAAAAATAAAAATAATGTTTTCTACTGGTTTAAAGGGTTAATACTATTACCTGAAATATCTTCTGTGAGAATATACTTTATGTCTTGTTGCACTAAAAGAAAAAAACAGAAATATTACTATGATGAATAAGGTTATTATTTAGCCACAAAATGTGTGCTTTAACAAAAAATATATTGGGTGCCAGGCAAACTGTAAACAAATAAAAAATTTTAAGGAAACCCAATGAATATAAAAGTTAAAATTATGATTTACCTAATCCATTAATTCTAAATGGATTCTAAATGCCTTCTATCCCAGCACTGGGGGAGGCTGAGGCACAAGGTTCACAAGCCCAGTTTGGGGTTCAAGCCCAGTTTGGTTGACCTCAAGACGTAATGAAACTCTGTTTCAAAATTAAAAATAAAATAGGGCTGGGGATGTAGCTCAGTGTGAAGGCTCTGGGTTCAATCCCTGCGCACCCGCACACACACACACACACACACACACACACACATATATTTGGCCAAAACTCACAATTTTAAGGCAACAAAAGCCTTTAATTTTGCATAATTAACATTTATAAATTAGATCAAGTTATTTTCTGTAATCGCCAATTATTCATGAGTATATTTTCAGTTGTCCTAGAAAGTTCCCAAAATAATTTTCTTGCACTCACCAAATAAATGCTTGTATAACTTTGGGTCCATTTCTTGTAGAGAGTTTTTGAATATGGTGGCAGCAATATTTCCTTTTATTAAAATAGTATCAATGAGTTCTCTTGCTTGTAAAGATGTCTGTGTTTTCTGTTTGATAACATCATGTTCTTGTTCATTAATCACTTTTGCAATTAGTAGACTATTCAAGATTGGAATTACACAAGTCAAGTGTTGAAAAAGTGTCATTCTATTCTTCCGGATTAGTGATAGATCTTCTGTATATAAAAAAAAAAATCCAAATACAAACATGTTCATAGTGCTCACAAACTTCTTTCCATACCAACGTACACCAACAAATGAAAACCATCTTTAATTCACAATCAAGCACTGATATTGACTGTTAGGCTTGGGGATACCTGCTTCTCTGTACCTAGAAATAATGTTAAGTATGAGGACTAACATTTCCTGAACACTTGCACTACACATTTTGCATGTATTGCCACATTTCACTATCTTTGCAACAACCCTTTGAATAGGTACTTATTCCCTCATTTAACAGATGAGAAAATAAAGCTACAGTAAGACAAGTTGCCAAACGATGCTTCACTAACAGAGTTCAGTCGGAGGCAGACTGGTGTCATGATCTGTGCTGTAACTATTCTGTAGTACCTGTCCTTAAACCATAAACCAAATGAAAGTTACAGTCTAATCAAATCAAAATTTTAATCCAATCTAATGAAATTGGGGAAATGTAAAATCAAGAGAATTAAAATATTTTCCATAAATTCTTCTACAAATTTGTTTTAATTCTACTTTAAGTGGAAATTTTAATTATTTGCCAAGACCAGACATATTGGCATTCCCTAAACAATTTACAGGAAGAGCAGAAAGGCACTAACCACATTCTGAACAATATGCTGTTTGTCAATAGCTACCTTCTTGTCCTATTGGATCTCCTTATTCTTCTTCAAGACCTAGATTTGTATCTACTGGCAAAAAGATTTTATACTTTGAGACTATAATTTTATTACCTATGTTTATTAATCGCCATATAGCTTACCATGAGCCATTAGCTATTTCTTTAATTTAGTTTTGACTTTTTACTTCCTACCACAATGTTATTTCTGTAACATAACGGAAATGGGGCTGGCTGAAGAAGAACCACTTCGGGAGACTGTTAGGTTTTAGATATACTGACTTTGTCTAGTAATATAGAACTATCTCAAAAGGGGAAAAAATGGTGTTTGGTCAAAAAGTCAAGGCCAGAAATATCCATTTTGAAGGTAACTGAAACTCTGAGAATAAATGAGGAAAGGACTAGGACCGAGAATAGTGCCTGGCACAAAATCAAGGCTCTATAAATAACTGTTGAAAAAAGCCAAGCCTCAGTAATTTAAAGAGTAGGAATAAAAAAGTTATATCCATAGGCATAGAACATTCAGAACAATATATTGTCAAATTATCTACATTAGAGAAGTAGTAATACCGTGCATTAGAAAACTATAACTTATACTTGGTATTGAAATATTTTGGCTTTTCAGTCTAAGACTTTTTTTTCTAATTGTATTTTGTTTGGGTGCTAAGGATCAAACCCAGTGCATTGCCTCAAGTATGCTAGGCATGTACCTTACTACTAAGCTGTACCTCGGCCCCTCTGAAATTCATACAATTTGATTGCTAGTACCTGGGTAAAGTCTCTCTCTTTTGGGGGGGGGGTACCAGGGGTCAAACTCAGGTCCTTGCATTTGTGAGGCAGGTGGTGGAACCACTGAGCTAAATCCCCAGCCCGAAAGTCTCATTTTTAAGTCAGAGACTGTATTATGGCTTACAAGTTATAAAGATCTGAATATATCTTTGAAGTGCATTATTATTTTATTCTGGAAAAATATTACCTCTATTTATATACTCATCAAGAAATTAATCACCCTTTGTTCTTGGGAAACTATAAAGCATTCACTCATCAAACAATGTTTCTTGAGCTTGGGCTATGCACAGACAGTACGCCAGGTGGAAGAGGCAGAGGCTGGGGCTGAGACACTAAGAGCTCTCTTTGGCAATGTAAATCCTGGTAGATTATTGACTTGGAATGGTCTCTGGAGACTTGATTGATTTTCTATGAAAGAAATATAAATATTTATATTGGTGGATGATTTTAGATTTTATCGGGTCTCTCACCAAATGTGAAGGTGAATGTTTTCTTTGAGCAATTGTAGGCTGACAACCGATGGCTGGGACTGAGAAGACACTAGGAAAAAAGTACTTACCTAATCTTTATAGTGAAAAGGAAAGCTTGACTAGTTGAGTGAGGATTAACTTGAATTATGTGGCTGCTGTATGGGAGGTATATGAAAGTGAGTCATTTACACTGGTAAATGTATGGTGATATATTACTAGGTTCTGGTACATTTCTCTTTATGGGCTGGAGAGGTTTATCGTTGGACAGAATGGACAATCTGACTGTCAGTTATCAGAGGAATGGATCCCAGATGGCCTTGAACAAAGATAAGTGCAAATTTTTTGCTCTTTCTTGGAGGCCTGAGCTTTGATAACAGCAACATATTTGGGACTTTCTTAACCATTTGTGTAAATTGGTCAGACCTACACAGAGCTAAATCAAAAGCTATGCAGAAAAATTTAGGAGGATGGGCCTAGGGGCACCAAGAGAAATCAATACCTACTTAGAGTTATAAATTGTCATCTGTGATATAGTTCCTATGTTACCTGTAAATCTTCCGTGAGAACTGGTTAAAAGAGGCAGTCTATTTTGAGCTATACCGAAGGGATTTTGGGGTTTGGTCCATGTTTGGGCAAGAGTGGCAGTGAGAGATCAGCATTTCTTTTCATCTAGGTCAGAGTGGTAATAGCAGTCAAAGCACCCAGGTGGCAATGGGCCTACCCAGAGGAAGAGAGATTTTGCAAGAGGAACAGAGTATGGGACAGTAGGCGGCTAATGTGGAAGAATATGGTTAACTTATCGTGACACAATGTAACACAGAACTCTAGGACTTACCTGAAAAAACACTGAGCGGGAACTCAGTTCTGGTGTGGGTAGGTAGAGGACTTAATCATAATTGGTGCATTAATTTATAATCAAAGACTGAGAATATTTTTATGCTAATATTTAAATTAATAACAGTCCCTGACCTCATTCTAATTTACAACATAAGGAGTGAGGAACTAGCCCGGGATCAAAATGAGCTATGAGTAACTGTATACAAAGTCAACTAACCAGAGTATGAATTAAAGAAAAGGATGCATTACTTTCACTCAAGGTACACATTTTCAATGTAATGAGCAATTCCAATAGATTTTAATGTGAAGAAATTTTCAGAATTTGAATTCAGGATAATAAATGTAAGAAAAATCTGACTCACTGATAAGCATATTTTCAGGAACTTCTGAGTAATAGCACAGCCTTATGGAAAAAGAAACTATATTCATAAATATACGGACCTAATTCCTTTTCCTCATTTGCTCTTTCTTTCGCCTCTTCCCTTATTTCATCTTCTGCATTAAGTAAATCTAACACAAGATCGCTGATGGTGTTATAATTGTCTCCAGTGCTTAGGATTTTACTCTGAACTGTCTGTTTTACCAAGCGTCGACTAAAGCCCATTTCCAAAGCAGCTTTGACCACAGGTGTGTTCATCATGACTGCATCTTCTGATTGGTTCTCTCCAGGTCCAAAATGAACAACTGTATGGAACACAGGATTTGATACATGTTAGGATAGTCTGTACATTTTTAAAACAGAAAATAGGCTGGGGATTTAGCCCAGTGGTTTCGCTGCCTGCTGCACAAGCTCAAGGACCTGAGTTCAATCTCCCGTACAAAAACAAAAAACAAATAAACCCCTGAAAATTACTATAATATCAAAAATGTAGAAAATATATACATACTATTTTATACAAATATTGTTAAATTTAAAATGCTATATATATTCCATCACTAAAATAAGAATGTGAAATATTGTATTTAGATTAAAATATGCATTATCTGCCATACCTGGATAAGTATACAAGTGAAGGAGAAAGAAACATAAATTTCAGGATCATCTCCCATGAGAACTGAGACTCATTTTCTCTACACTGAATGAACAAATGAACTTTATAAATCAAATATGTATTTTCACATATTTTATTGTTTTATTTTATTTATTTATTTTGGGGGGATACTGGGGATCAAACTAGGATCCTTGCGCTTGTGAAGCAGGCATCGGAACCACTGAGCTAAATCCCCAGCCCATTTTCACATATTTTTAAAAGAGGCCATTGTCATCATTCACTTCTGTTACTGCAATGGCCTCCTACAATATTGCTCCCTTCCAGCTCATTCTCAACACTGCAGTCAGAATGACTTTTCAAATCTGATTGTGTCACATTCCTTAAATTGCATTAGATTCCACTGTGCTAGGATATAATTCAAAGATTGTGTTTGATTATTTGCTTGAGATACTGGGGATTGAACACAGGCCCTCGCTCATGTTAAGCAAATACACCACCATTAAACTACACACTTTGCCCTTATCTTTTTTTTTTAGGGTTTTTTTGTTTGTTTGTTTTTTGAGACAAGGTCTTGCTTTGTAGTTCAGGCTGACTTTGAACTATGTATCCCAGGCTGGCCTCAAACTCACAGTGATCCTTCTTCCTTAGCCTCCCAAGTGGTGGAATTATAGGTGGGTGCCACCGTGCCTTTATATTTTATTTCAGACAGGGTCTCACTAGATTTTCCAGGCTATCCTCAAATTTGTGATCCTCAGTTCTCAGCTGCCTGAATAGCTGGAATATTGATGTACACCACCATGCCCAACTGTAATTAAAAATTTAATTGCAGCTTATAAATTCTCCTACAATCTGGACCCAGTTTACCTCTTCAGCCTCATCTCTTGCCTCTTATTTGCATCCTGCATTCCAGCCTAGAAGTCACAAACTGACGCTTCTTGCATCAAATTCTCCCTGCAATGCTGACCAGTCTAATGGCTAGCCTGCTTCACACCTTTATCTATTTGCAACTCCTGCTTCTGTCCATACACAATTTTGTTCATTTCATCCAATGTGCCTATTCCATGTCACTTAGGCCTTTCACATACTGCTCCCTATGCCTGGAATGTATTTTTCCTCCCCTCACTTGATTGAGTCCTTTTCCCTTGGGTTCTCTGCTAAGACAAGTACTTCCTCCAGAAAGCCTTTGCTGATCCTCCAAGTCTGGGTTAATTGTCACTCATGAACTGTCATAGCTCACTCTACTGCCCCTACCAGATCCCTTTTATCTGTGTATTTATCAGTATCCCTAGGATTATTAGCTCATGAGAGCGGGAGTCATGCATATCCTGTTTTCTTTCCCTGGGAACAGCTAAAATACAATAAATATTTACTGAATTGAATCACATACTAAAAATGGAATAGTAGTGCTGCTCCTGGCTGGCAAATGCAAAGTCCTGAGTTTGATTTCTGGTACCAAAAAAAAAAAGGAATAGAAATACTTGTTCAAATATTTGCTTTATTCCCTTTAAGGTTTAAGATAATAAACAAACCTCTTAACTTCTCTGAATCTATTAATTTAATAGTTTTCCTATTAAAGAATGGAAACAGTATTTTCTAACTTCTCCATTCCAGAGAAGGAATACATAAGCAGTCTAATGTCACAGCACATCTGTTCCCACACTGGTTCAAGGACAAGGGTTAGGCTAGGTGCACATTATTTGTTAAAATTACAGATGCCCAAGGTTGGGATGTAGCCCTTGGTTCAATCCCCAGGACACCCCCCTCCCTGAAAAACTACAGATACCCAAGCCCCACCCTTATATACCTGGATTGAATCCAGTAGGTCTAAAGCTTAAACTAGAAATCTGCACTATTTTTTAAAGTTCTCCAGGCAACTCTGACATGCAGTGAAGTTTAACATGGTACATTTGATTGATTTTTTGTTTTGTTTTGTTTTTGGTACCAGGGATCGAACTCAGGACCTTGTGCTTGCCAGTCAGGCGCTGTGCTGCTGAGCTAAATCCCTGGCCTAACATAGTACATTTGAAAATGCATTGCAAATTACAGATCAACACAAATATACATTATTATCACCTTTCAATCTTAACAATACCAAGTAGTTCTATTTCAATGCAGTAATAATTATCATTTGTACATACTTGGTGACTCCACATTTTCATCTTCGGGGGTGTCTGATGTAGACAACAGCTACAGAAAAAAAGTACATGTAAGTTAAAATATAAACTTTATCGTTCCCATTGCAATAAAATGAGTCAGAAGGCCTATTTTATTCAATTAATTACAAACTGACTTGCTCACTAGCAATCATTTTTAATCAAAAGCAGTATTTCATTTACATTCACAAGTTATTCCCTAGGCCATAAATTAACAGTTTCTGTGTCTGTGAAGGCAGAAAAAGGGCTATAGCTTTTCAGTTGTCTCCGAGATGGTTAGTTTGCCTTTTATCCAGTCTCTGTCCCCTGTGTTACCCTTTGGGATAGATTAGACCTTATATGGATTCCATTGACCATGGTTAGGAAGTTTTTGACCGTCAACTTATTATATAAGTTTTTATTTACTTTCTTTTCATTTCATTTCATTCATTTATTTCATTTATTCATTTATTTCATATCTCTTTCTTTAATCTTTTAAAGAAAAATTTATATAACAAAGCTATTAAATGCTACTATCCCAACTTACTTTTTCCTCAAATAGTTTAAGTATTGCAACTTAATTGGAGAAATTCTTGAATTTCACAGCAAATATTATTTTTCAGGAGGTTACTAATAATCTATTTTTCTCAGAAAAATAATACTTTCTAGGATCATGTTAAGTTTTGTGAAAAAAGAAAATATGTTTTTAAAATGACTTTTGTGTTTTAAAAATATCTTTTATCTTTTCACTAAAACACTGCTCTGTAATGAACAGAAAATAATTTCTTTATTGGTAACCAATGAATTTTTTAAAAACCTTCCCTTCTTTACCTGTTCAAGCAGATGAGGATAACTGGCTTGAACTTGACTGATGAATTCTTGTCCTTTAATTCTTATCAAGTACTCACACCTAAAATGTAAACAAAATAAAGAGTTATTTTATAAAAGCAAAATAAGAATTTAATAACAAATTCCTAAAAAATTAAAATAAAATAAAATACATTAAAAATAAATAAATTCCTCATCCGTGTTTATTCCATTGGAAATCTGATTGTCTCGAATCACAGAACCATTTAAAATCACTGATTCTAAACTTAAAGTTTAAAGAATAAATAAATCCTAGTCCTGTGCTAACTCTATTTTCTTTTTTAAAGTTTTCTTTTTGTAAAATTGACCTATAAAATATCCTTTAATAGGATTCAAATTGTTTTGAGTATGAATTTTTAAATTTGTTCTTTAAGGTACTACCTGTTGCAGTTAACATGAATTTATCTTACTACAAGTACTTTTTTCATCTGGTTTGAATGTTTTACAAAATTAGTTTTATTATCTTATATTTTCAGGCATGTATCTTTTTTTTTTGGTACCAGGGATCGAACCAGGGTCCTTGCCCTTGTGAGGCAGGCAGTGGAACCACTTAGCTAAATCCCCGGGCCTCAGGCATGTATCTTGCTTGAGCTAATTTTTGAAAAGCCCTAAATTTTTATCTTAATCGGAACAGAGCAAATCTAGTCATTTGTAAACTAGTAAATATTTCAAATGAGAATAAACATGAATATGAACACTTTCCTCTTCATTTAGCCCAAGGGAGTGGTAACTACAGTGAAGGCAATCTGATGTGGACAAGGAGGGCGTGACTGACATTTTGCCACAGCTGAAGTGGGTGTCAGGAACCTTGCAGCCTCCTTACTGCAGTCAAGTGAGGCTGTCTCCACTTAGACTCCTCATTGTTCTCTTCAGTTATTCTAGGGTTCTTAAAAATACCCTAGAATATGCCTTGAAAACAGACCATGGAGACAGAAAGTTCTCTAACTAAGTGATTGAGTCATAATTATGACAGTCTAAAAGCTGAAAATATACAAAAAAGAACAACAGAGAAAGAATGAAAAAACTCAAAACATCTTCCAATGTCAGATAATCACAAGTTTTTCAATTCCTAGAAAATATGCAGCCATTATCAAACTTAAGTACAAAATGAATTAACGATACCACTAAAGCAAATTTATTGTTCTTTTTGTATATTCTCAAAACTACCAAAATGGAAAGAAATTTTTTAAAACCATGCATGTGATCCTTATAATCTTTACAATTTTAAAACTTTACAAAAGGGAGGGAGGGAGCACAGAGCTGCTATAAATGAAAATAATGTCCTATATACAAATGTATATAATGAAAATGTTAGAATACTGAGTTTGGTGATCAATAAATAAGAGTTTTGACTATTAAAAGTGTAATTATAGGTGATCTGTCTTAAATGAAATTGGAGAGCATTCAAGAGTGTAGAATAATCAAAATGGTAAGACAAAATGCTGTGTAATAATTAAAATAGATGAGATGTATTTATATTTACCCTGACCACCCTATTTAGTATTACAATTTGCTTTGAACACCTCTCCCTTACTCTATTCTCCTTCTTCTCCCTCAGTGGTGGCATTTGAACCCCCAGCCAGTATCCTATCACTGAGCTACATCCCAGTCCTCTTTTTTTTTGGTAACGGGGATCATCTTAGGACCTTGCGCTTGCGAGGCAGGTGTGGTGCCACTGAGCTAAATCCCTGGCCCCTCTTTCTTCTTTTTATTCATGAGACTAATTATCTTCCAAATGCTATATAACTTATTATTAATCGTCTGTCCTTTTCTGTTATAAAATGAGCTTATGAGATCAGAAGTTCTTTGTTTTGTTGAGCTGAATATTTTATATGCCCCTTAGAACAGTGCCTGGCAATAGATGATCCATTAAAGAATACTAAATGCCTATTGAATGAAATATGTCCCAGATAGATATTGGCTGGAAAAAAAAGTCCAAAACTATTTATAACATTTAAATGAGTTTGATTTACTACTAGTCCTACTACTATGTAAAATTATATACATTTCCATATATATATTTAAAGAGATGTTTGGGGGATGGA